AGGGTGTAGCTGGTAATGGGACGTGGAGCCTGTGGGCTGGGCATGCTCGGTGGTGTTGGGGGGCTGCCGGGGAGGACACCTCTCCCTCTGGCCCAGAGGAGGGGAAAAATGGGGAAAGGGGAGATGGTGCCATCCAGCAGCCGCTGCACAAGCGCATTCCCCAGCCCGGCACTACTGGGTGATGGGACGAAGCCAGTGGCCACGGGGATGGGGCTGCCATGCCGGGACCCGGCTCACCTCACCCTCTGTCCCCTGCCAGGTGTCACCTACTCGGACACGGTGAGCGCCACGGAGCCGTGCAAGCCCTGCACGCAGTGCGTGGGGCTGCAGAGCATGTCCGCACCCTGCGTGGAGTCGGACGACGCCGTGTGCCGCTGTTCCTATGGCTACTACCAGGATGAGCCCAACGGGACCTGCAAGGAGTGCCGGGTGTGCGAGGTGGGCTTCGGCCTCATGTTCCCCTGCCAGGACTCGCAGGACACGGTCTGCGAGGAATGTCCCGAGGGCACCTTCTCCAGTGAAGCCAACTTCGTGGACCCCTGCCTGCCCTGCACCACCTGCGAGGAGAACGAGGTGATGGTGAAGGAGTGCACGGCCATCTCGGATGCTGAGTGCAGAGGTAATGCCGCCTTTTCTGGGGACAGCCGTTGTTTTTTAGCGGAGAGCTGGGTTCACCTCATGTTCCCCTGCCTCAGTTTCCCCTTGTACCACAGCAATGGGGAGGCAGCGGCACGTCCCTGGGCTTGGAGGAGAGGAGAGGACCCCCGTGTTCAGCTGAGACCCCCAGCCCTCGGGCTCTTGCCATGAGCCCTCATCTCCCCGGCACATGCCCGGCCCCAGGCTGTGCCCAGCCCTTGCCATTTTTTTTCCTGGCAGGACGCTGCCGCGGGTGCGGGCGCTCTGCCGGGTGGCTTTTGGTGCCCAGGAACAGCGAGCGGAGCCGAGAGGGTCACCAGTCCCTGACGCCATGCTCGCCACTGCCCAAGCCTTCATCAGGAGGGA